CCACTCCTCTCACTGTCTGCCTCCATTCTCAGACACATCAAATTATCCGTACTGGTGAGCTGAATGTAGATGCTGATCATATTTTTCTATCTAAGCCTGGGCCACACAAATAATAGGCAATGTATACAGTTTACACACAGAACTGACTCAAAAATTCAACTGTTGATGGTTGTGGCTACCAAAACAAATTGTTGTGACAATGTTAAGACTGAATGGGACTAGTGGAAATGTGAACTCGCAACAGTGTGAAAACTACTGTAGTTTTCTCTTAAGAGTAAATAAACTTGGTGGAAGGAAAAAAAACTAAAGAAATAAAAAAGTTGAAAGTTCCTAAATTTGGTAAGACCAGAAAGACCGATTACATGGGTTTTGATTTTTGTTTTCACCGTTAACCTGTAGTGTTAGATGGAGATTAACACGTTGCAGTTTTCCCAGAAGAAAGCCTGACTATCAACACTGCTTTTCCATTACTCCTCTCGACAGTAATTTTCACAGCCTCAGTGTAACCATGAAATTAAACCTTGGCCAAATAGAACTTATTTATTTCCCTTTCATTGAGCTGGAATCAAAGATCCTGGGCTCTCTGGTTTCCAGCCCCTTTTCAGCAAACATCTAGCACCACATGGTATAATCTACACTCCAACCCCGCCTGCCTCACTGGCTTCAAAAGGAAAACTGACGGGGGCCAACCCAAGCTTTGTGATGACCACAAATCAACGCCTCTGTGAAAATCTACTCGTAGAAGCAGTAGCACCCACCACCTTCCCCAGCAGCACCCACCACCTCCATCCACCATGCTCCCCCAATGACTAAAAGATGAAGCGGCCACCCCTCTGACTTGTCACCAGTTTAGCCCCTGGCTCACTGTCACTCTGCCCATCTATGCTTCTCTTAATCTGCGATGATTTCAGAACTCTCAGAGATGATCTTTCCTACACCATGGCGTCCTCGTCCCTGGACCTCCTGTCTGTCTCAGCCACTCACTCCCAAAGTCATCAATCTCACCATCACTGGTGACTGCAACGCCCTGTAATCGCAGGAAGGAGCACCACACTCTTCAGCCATCTTCTCTCCCATATTTCCAGCTCACGCCCTCTACTCATCTCAGCCTCAACAACCCTTCAGCCTGCATGGGTTGAATGGTACAACCCACCAATTCTACCAACTTTTTGCTACCCTAGAACGTCATCATGTCCTCCCTTCCTCAGCCAGCTTCAATTCCACAATTACTGCACTGCACTCATCCTCTACAACCTTGCTTTTTCTTGCTGTGTGGCACTTGCTTGGAAAAACTACAAATCTAGTTAAGCTCAACTCTGTCTATTCCATGCCTGTGTCCACCCAGTTATCTCAATGGCCAGAGAAAAAAAAACACACAACAATGCTCACTTTAGATTTACAGCCATGACCCCCATGGGGGCCCTCAACGTTGCAGGGCACTCATGCTACACTCCGTTAGCCCAGTGAGTCTCCCATTCTTCGGTGACTATTTCTTCCCCCACTTCAAGCTCACCCTAACTTAATGGCATTACCTACTTTGTTACTGGCAAATGGAAATGATGAGAATTTTTAAAGCTCCCGTCAGCACGTCTGTACCCATGTAAACCCACGTAACTGCCTGTGCTCCCATGTAAGGCCAATCCCTCCACTTGGCACTAGATCCCAGCCCCTCACATCCTTAACCAATGCTTTCCCTTCTTTTCCCAAACAATAGATTTCCCCCTGTCTACAGGGTAAGTCCCATCTGCATACAAACATGCCATTTCCCGCCCCCCATTTAAAAAAATAACAAAAACTTAACATCACTGGCCCTTCCTGCTAATACGCCATTGTCAGCTCTCCTTTAAACAACAAAACTCCTCAAAACACTTTTCATACTAGCATCTCCAACTCTCCTCCTCCCATTCTTCCTTAAAATTCCCCCAAAAGACTTTCACCCCATCTTCTCACTGAAACTAGTCTCAACAAGGTCACTAGTGGTCTCCAGGCTGCTAACTCCCAGAGCGGATTATCAGTCCTCATCGCCCTTGACCTGTCAGGAGGATGTAACCCTCCTTCCGCTGAGAAACACTAAGCTACTCCATTCACAGGACTTCCGGTCCCCCACACACCTGCTCCACCATAAGCTCTGCCATCGGTTTAATGGGGACTCTCTCCTGCAAGTTGATTAAGCCACGAATGTTACAATCATCTTTGTGCTCTTCCACAGCCCATATCCCATCCTCCACTGATCTCTTGGACTCTATCTTCAAAATGCATTGAGAATACAATTACTTACCACTCCAAAAGGTACTACCCTGACCCAAGCCACCATTATTCAATAAACAAATAATTATTGGCAGCTGAGTGGCTCAGCTGGTTAAGAGCTCACTTGGGAGCACCAGCTCTGAGCAGCAGAGCTGCGGTTCGGATCCCACATTGAGGGCCAGTGATGCTCGCCTTCTGCAGCTAAGATGATGAACAAATAATTATTGATGGTCTAGTACATGCTTGGAGCTCTTCTAGGTGCTTAGAATATTGTAAGTGAGCAAAAGGAATTTAAATTCTAGTGGCAGGAAACAGAATGCAATAGTATTTATTGGATCTCAGTAACAGCATCCTAACTGGTGACCCCGCTTCCACCCTACCCACCCCCCCACAGTGTATTGTTAACACAGCAACGAGTGCTCCTGTTAAAACCTGTGACCACGCAGGTCCTCCATGAAAACACAATCTCATCTACAGTTAAAGTCAAAGCCTTAGAATGGCCTATATGTCTGGCCCATCTGTAACCACATCTCTAACCACTCTGCCTCCTGCTCACTCCAGCCCAGCCACACTGACCTCCCTGGAGTTCCTCAAATGCACGAGACCCACCTCAGGACCTTTAGATGTAATATTCCCTTTGCTTGGTACATTCTCCCCCCTGACATCCATGTGGCTTGCTCCCCCACCTCCTTCTAAAGCTTTGCTCAAGTATCACCTTCTCAGAGAGGCCTGTGCTGATGACCCTACTAGAACAGAACTGACAATCTCCTGTTAATACACTCAAAACCACCAAATGTTCTAACAATTTTAATATTTCCTTGGATACATCCCTCTTGGAAACCTCCACCCTCCCTCCTGCTTCAGCCTGGTTCGGCTGGTGGTCTGTCATCCTGGAACTCCCTCTACCATCATCCCCGGAACTCTCTTTGCTTCTCTCCAGTGTCAAACTATTGCCTGTACCATTCTTTTGTGGTTTGTTGGTAAAATACATCTTCCAGATGCTTCCTTAGAAAAGTTACCTGGAAAGTCATTTATTGAGAGCTTCCATATCTGAAAATGTCTTTGTTCCACCTACTTATTATTTGGATATAGAATTCTAGATTTAAAATCATTTTTTTGGGCTGGCCGAGTGACACATTTGTAAGGAGCTGGCTTGGGACCTCAGCTCTGAGCAGCAGGGCCCTGGTTCGGATCCCACATGAGGGCCAGTGATGCTGCGTCCTCTACAGCTAAGATGGTGAACAACAGCTCAACCTGGAGCTGGGCTGCTGGGAGTCGATGGCGATGGCATAGGCTGAAGTGAGGCTGCAGTGGGCTGCCATGAGCCACGGTCCCATGGCCGGCAAGCGACTGCCTCAGCCAGAAAGAAGAGCGCAATGATAATACCTACATGGGCCAGTGAAGCGACGTCCTCCACAAGTAGACTGAAGAACAAAAGGACAGCAACTTGTCTGTTCCCCTCCCCCAATTCCCCAATAAAATCTTTAAAAAAAAAAAAATCTTTTTTTTTTTTTCAGAGAAGTCTGAGGGCATGATTTTAATGGCTTCAAGCTTTCAATGTTGTTACTGACAAGTCCAATACCATTATGATGACTTATTTTTTTATATGAAACATGTTTTTTCTAAAAGGTTTTACAATTTTCTCTTTATCCCCAATGTTCAAAAATACCAAGATATGCCTCAGTGTGGGTCTTTTTCCACTGACTGTACTGGATGCTTGATGGATCCAGTAATGTGCTAATGAAGGTTTAATAATTATTTCTCCAAGGGGGAAAAAGTCATGGTTTGCAGCACTTGCCATTTTCTGCAGTGTAAATCCTCCTGCTGTGGTAAATTTCAAGGTAGCATGTGATATCACTGAATGTGCAGTTGTCAAGAGATGAGCTGTAGCACATCACTACCTGGTCTTTTCACCGTACAAATAAAATAGATACAGATAACCTCGAGAGCATAAGTAACAGTGGAGTCATTGGGAAGAATTTTTAATAATGACTGTGTTTAACAATCAGCTTACAAAATTCCTGAAAATTTAACAATTGGTTCTCACGATCCAGCTTCAGCTAGATGGCCCTGCCAATCTGGAAATTTATGGTCTTCAGTGCTGAAAAATGGTCTTACGCTGTTTCTTGTCTGTCATTTTCTCTATTGCTCCTTCTGGAATTAGCCAGATGTTGGAACTCTTGGGTGAATCCTCTAATTTTTTTTTTCATCTTTTCTCTCCAATTTTCCTCCTCTTATTCTAATTTCTTAAAGAGATTCTCAACTGTATCGAACATATTTTAAACTTCTAATGCATGTCACTGTTCTAGTAATGTCCTTACTCTTATAGCTTCAATTATTTCACTGAATGTAATGTTGTTTCTTTATTCTGTTTGTTTTATTTTGATCTCTCTCTCAAGATAAAGGCTTTCCTTAAGTGACTCATGATCCTTAGCGTCCGTATTTTTTTCTGAAGCATGTATTCTAACCTATAATAGATGCATTTTCATTTATTTTTACCAAAAGATTTTTGGATTGAGCATTAAGAGCCACGTGTTCCAAAAAAAATAAAAAATAATTTCAATACATTATATTTTCAATGCATTAAAGTATAAGATGGTTAATAAAATGTGTTACATTAGGATACAATTCTGCGCAGGAGATGGAATAGATACAATACATGAGTTGAAGGATAAGTTGCAGTTGGCCTAACACCAACGAACTAAGAAAACTAAAGAAAAAGTCAGCCTGAGCAGTCTGTTGGAACAACTCACCGGCGTTGGATCTGCCTTGCAAAATTGTTGCTGGAAGCTGAGCAGGGAAACTGGACTTCGCTGTGCAGGGTGGCATTGCGGAAAAGATCACAGAAGTTCTCAAAGAGCTCCAAAAGCTCATCTGACGTGTTCTCAAACACAGCGATCACCTCTGTTGTCACCATATTGTACACCACAAAGAAAGATGCCTGCAAAGCACAGAGAGAGCTAAGGGACAGCTGAGTATAATGCCATGCCTAGCAAACTTAGCACCTGGCTGAAAATTCCAGCTACCCAAGTGGAACACACAAAGCCCTCCGCTCCAGTACTAGGTAGGGCCAAAACATGGCTCCAGGTGGTTCTGGGAAAGGAGGAGGCCTCAGCCGGATCTGTCAATCAAAGGCCTCAGTGTTGCCAGATTTCCCACTGTACCTGTGCTGCTGTATTACTGAATTGGCCAGCATATATGTATGAAAAGGTTCTCAAGCTTTCATTTCAAACTGTATTCAAAAAATACATTTCAGTATTTTTCCTTCTAAGTGTTTATTCCCTACTTGCTCCCCAACCCACCCCGAGATAAAAAACACTTTTTTAAAATGCCAGATTTAATTTTCCTTCCTGCTGAGAAAGTGATTTGCAGCCTGGAGCTGCCTGTTGACAAATTATTTTCTCTTGTAAATGAACAGCTGAAAGTTCAATTTAGGGGCATTTATTTTTCCTCTTAATAGTTCTAACATGCAGAGAGACACCTTAAGTACACTGTGTCCGAAAACTACCCAGGCAAACTGTAACCAAACAAGGCTCTGCTGCTGAAGAACAGAAAAATCAGAGAGGCACTTCCATTTCTTTCTTTATAAACGTTGTTTTACCCAAGGGCATCTGTAAAATGCATTTGAGATTTGTAGCAATTAAGATCAGAAGGGGAACCTGAAAAGCATTCAAATGCCATAGGTGACAGAGTCACTGTTTTTTTCTGAATGGGATCCTGGCTGACGAGCCCTCTTCCTCTAAATTTCCAGTGTTCTGCTTGGCCTAACAGGGATGTGACAGGAATCCCTAGTTTTTGTTACAGTGACTGTGACAGTGTGAATCAATCTGCCTGTTTCCAACAGGGCTCTAGAAGTTTCCAGAACACTGGGATTAGTATTCCCCCTCCTATGATTGAGTTTAAATCTCCATTACTAATTTCTGGTGCCATTTGGCCCACCTGTTTTACTAGTAATTAGTCCTTCCCAGAGCTTATATTACATGACTTTTTGCGAACCCCTGGCAATTAAATTTGGCTGTAAATTAAAGAGACTGGAGGGTAACCTAAGAATAATACCCCTGATATTAAAAAGGCTTTGTTTTTGGATGCACCTTTTACTCATTAACCTTATTGGAACCTATCAAATTAAACTGAGGAAGGAAGGAAAGACAACTAGGGCAGAGAGGTTGGGTTTAAAGTTACAAACTCGGTTAAGCAAAGCATAGAGCCCTAGTTACATTTCTGACTACAACTTATCACAGCTACCAGAAACAAAGAGGTCATGTTTTAGCAAAGGACAAAAAGGATAATCTCAAATGCAGCAATCGCAGACATTTTACTCCCTCCAAAGTAAAAAGTAATTATAGCTCAAACCTAAATAAAAGGCTGACTCATGCTCTTTCTATAGATCTGGACAGCTCTTTGATCATATCAGGGCTTCACCAGGACCCATCATAATTACATGAATACAGAATTACACAAACATCTACTCAGCTTCCCTCCAGGGCAGATCGGGAATCACAGGACAGGTGGGTACAGAAGGAGTCAAGGGCTTCTCGAACTCCAGTCTCCCGTGACGCATAAGATGAACTAGATGCTCGCTCGTGATGGCAAAATGGGTGACAGGAAAGAAAAAGAATCCAGAAAAAATTGATCTCTAACCGTATTACTCAGCCCCCCCCCACCCTTTTTTTAAGAATACATAAGTTATGATTCAGAAGACAAATGTTAGGAAACCTTTTACCCTGATGGCTGGTAAGGGTAAAAAGTCTCTCTTAATGACAGAATCAGCGGCAGGGCAATGAGAGACACCAGTCTCAGATGCCTCTGTGGTTTATTGGTTTGCTCTCTGTTCAGAATTTCCAAACTAGCATCTAAGGAAACAATCTGGAAACAGGAGAACAGGGGCAAAGGTACTGAAAAGTGGTCTCTTACTTGGTCAACATTGAAGTGGACAGCTTCTCAAAGGGAAACAAATTACCCTGAATTTCAATACAGTGTTTCAACCCAACAGTCTTAGAGGTTTCTGTGCTCTTGCTACCACTTTATTCTCATTTGAGAAATGTTCCTTTCCTCTACCAACATCTTTCACCCAAAGTAAAAAACCCTCTGGACCTGAAGGCCTGATGACAACTCACGTGGGAGTTCCAAACTGTGGGCTTCCTTGCAAACCGTTTCCTGCTCTGCAACCCATCTTTCAGCACATGAGCAATGTCAGGGTAAGTCATAACACTTAACTCTGTTTAATGAGCTTACGTGTTAGTTACCTTTTAAAGAAGACTTTGTGAAGAAGTATATTGACATTCACCATTTAAGCAGAAAAGAGAGGCTAGATTTTCAGAGGATTTTCTTTTTGCATGGTGGGCTCATTCTTATTGCCAGAACTAAAACAGTCAGACCAACAAGCCCCGTCTTACAAAATCAAGGCAGGATTTTCCATAGATAGTCCAAACCTTGACCTTGTAGCATTTGGACTTCTACCTCAAGGATACTGAAAATGCTGTGCAGAAGGTAGAGGGTAATGACAGAGGAGATTATCTACACGTCAAAGGCTTGAGATTTAGCCACTGACATGTAGATAATCACCTCTGTGATTATTATTCAGTCAAGCATATATATGTGGCTAGAGAAAAATGGAGCTGTTTTCAATTTGACTGAGCCTAGGATTGCAGAAATTCAAGACTATGTAAAATGTGTATTTCTGAGAGGCTGGCGACAGGCAAAGGAAGAAACCATCCCATTTTGCCCAGAAGATTGGAGGAGTGAAGGGCAGAGAGCCCCTCATACCTGAGACGGATCTGTGACCCTCAAGGTCACTACATCCTCACTAGTGTACTTGATAAACAGGTGGTTTTCGTCCAGAAGCTGCATTTTCCACATGCGCAGCTGCCGCAGTTGGTCAAAATACTGGAAGAAGCGCCTCTTGGCCATGGCGCTCCCGTCTTGCTCTGCCCGGCGCCACAGGTACACGAGCAGCCTGTGTTTCAGGGAGTTGATGAAGGGGTCCCGGAAAGGATTGGCCATGCCCGTCTGGCTGTCCCGCTGCACCTCGGGGAAAACAGCGGACACGGTGAGCAGGTCATCCTCGTAGCAGAAGCGGCCAATGGTCCTCACGTCGATGAAAGTACCTTCAGGCGTCACCTGGAAGACATGGATGGTCTGCTGCTGCACGGACAAGATGGCCAGGATGTTTTTGTACAAGTACAGGCCTTGGTTGTGCGACAGGACCACTTTGTCACACTTGAAGGTACGCGTATCACATAAGCGGCCAGTGTGCAAGTCAATGATGTGGAGGGAATAGTCCTCCAGAGGGGACCGTGGGTTGGGGGTCACGGATTCACTGTTCCGATACACCTCATAAAAAGGAGGGTGGGGCTCGTCCGGGAGGTAGGCGGCCGAGCCCACGATCACACACCGGCAGTCGTCCGTGAAAAGGCTGCACTCCCGGTTCAGGTGCTCGCCGTTGGCTGCTACGTTGGTGATGTGCAGCAGGACAAAAAACCGTTCAAAGAGCCGGCCGCGGATGTTGACTGACCGCTGGTCGTTGCCATTGGACAGGATCTCCCCCTCGTAGCCCTGCAGAAGGTCCTCGGCCGCTTGGCAGCCCTGGTACTCGTAGATTTCGAGAGATGTCTGGTCTGAAGAGAAAGCAATAAAGTAGCGCCCATCAGGTGAGAATTTACGCAAGAAACAGGGGGGCTTCTCCACGTTGACAACTGTGAAGTTGGGGAAAATGTTCTGGTGGAACACCCGGACCTGATGCCAGTGGGTGCCCGCCTTGCCTGAACTGATCCGCCGGCGCTCCAGGCGGTGAATGACATTTTGGTTCTGGATTCTTCGAGGTTTGATGGTGGAAACATGATGATCCATTATCACATCTCTACATGGAAAAGTAAAGTAGAAGAAAAGAAAACAAAAGCTATCAAAACATGTACAAGTCACACAGATTTCCCTGCTTATGTCCTGACCCTGGGAGCTCCCAAGATGATGGCGGTCAGCACTTTTCTTTCCCAGATTATAGTCGGGATGGTCCTGACACAGTTCTGAGTCTAGAAACACGTTTGAGAGAAGGATCTAATTCAATTAGAATGTCTTCAAAGCATGCTTAGCTGTTAGGAATAATCAACAGAGTAAACCTAGAACTGCATCAAATTTGTTCAGTGTCCGAGTCACGTTTAATGCATATTCATTAAAAATATATATATTTATCAGGCATTAAGATGCCCATACCACCCAAAACAATCTACGAATTCAGTGCAACCCACATCAAAATCCCAACAGCATTTTTCGCAAACAGAAAAATTCATCCTAAAATGCACATGTCATCTCAAGGAACCCTGAAAGGCCAGCCAGCAGTTTTATAAAAGAAGAACAAAGGTGGAAAATTCACCCTTCCTGATTTCAAAACCTATTACAAAGCTATAGTAATCAAAAAGTGTGGTACTGGCATAAAGACAGACAAATGCACCAATGAAATAGAACAGGCTTCAGGTATACAAGCCTGAAATTCAAGGTCAGAGAGCCCCAAACATAATAAACCGGAAGAAATCCATACCAGATACATCATATGTATGTGAAGAACTAAAATACAAAGTAAAAATCTTGAAAGCAGCCAAGTAAACAATACATTACTTACAGGGGAACAATTCACAAGTCTGTGGATTTCTTAAGAGACACTATGATGCCAGAAGGAAGGAGAACAATATTTTTTTTCTTAGAGCAACATTTTTAAAGAGCTGCCTCTGTTTCATCCTTCCAATTTTGGCTAAAGTAGTAATGCTTCAGAATTTTTCCCCGGCTGCCTACATAAAGTGGTGCCTTTTTTCCATCCATATCAATCTATCATTTCACCCTATTTTTTTCCTCAGCCCTTAGCACTTTGAGATTATCTTATTTGTTTACCTTCTTAGTATAAATCTCCCCATAACAAACAGTAGGGACCTCATCTAATTCTTTGCTGTATTTCTTAAGCACCCAGGGCAGTGCCTGAGGCACAGTAAATACTCCTAAGTATGTTAAATGTATTAAGCGACATTTGACATGGGGCTTGAAGGATAAATAATTCATTAGGCAACATAAATGAGGAACATTCCAGAAAAAAAGGTGATCTAAAAAACACACTAAGAAAGAGCATGGCAGGAATCTGGTCAAGAGGGCAGAGTAAATAAACTTTGTGCTTGCCTGCTCCCATGATCACATTAAAATTACAACTATAGAATAATCAACCTAGAGAACCATCTGAAGACTAGCTGAACCAAAGTTCTGTAACTAAGAGAGAACATTTAACTTTCAACATAATAATGAGTTTGTTTGTAGGATTTTCATAAACTTTTTTTCAGGTTGAAATTGCATTCTATTCCTTCCTTGCCAATAGATTTTAATACGAAAGCCTGCTGAATTTTAAAATGCTTTTCCTGCATTTGTTAATATGTTCATATGGTTACTTTAATCTGTTATATGTTGAATTATTTTGATTGACTTTAAAATGCAAAAACAAGCTTGTAAAAAAAAAAGAGCATGGCACGGCACACTTGGGAAACAGAATAATTCCAAGTGACTAGAGCACAGAAGAGTGAGTGATACAAGAGAAAGAAGACTGGAGTCACATTAAAAAGCACTTTGTATGTCATGCCATGCAAGCTATTCAAGGTTTTAAGCAGAGGATTGACTGGAGTCCAGGTACTCTGTGATACCTGGAGACATCTGTGGTTGTCATAACTTGGGAGAGCGGGATGCTATGGGGGTCCGGCAAACAGAAGCCAGGGATGCTGCCAAACATCCTACACTAAATAGGCAACCCCTCTCACATCTGGCCCAAAATGTCAATAGTGCTAAGGTTGAGAAACCCTAATCTAGAGAAATACATGCACACATATAACACGAGACACGTACAAGAATGTCTGTACCAGGACTGTTAGCAACAGCAGACACTGACAACACTCCAAATGTCTGTCAACAGCAGATGAGATAAATTTATCCAGGCATATTCATGCAGTGGAATCTTATGAAGCAATGAATTAATGCACTACAGTTATACATAACACTGGTGAATCTCAAAACACAATGTTGAAGAAAGCAAACTGCAGAAAATATATACACGCGCGCGCGCACGCGCGCACACACACAGTGTGATTCCTTTTACGTAAGCTTCAAACAACTTCTAGTTTAAGCATACAAATATATATGGTATACAATTATGAAAAGCAAGGAAATTATAAACATAAAATTCAGAACAGTGGTTACCTCTGAGGAAGGTAAAAAATGGGATGGGGGTTGTGGACACACTAACAAGTCCAAGCGTGGGTTTTTTTTTCTTAAACTAGCATTGATTGTACCATTATTCTTTAAAGATTACATATTTTTATTTTACTTAGAATTTTTTTACTTAGCAAACAACCCTTATAAAGAGAAAATGAAGACAGGACAACACAATGAAGCCAGGAGTAGACAGAAATGCATACCATGAGGACCTGAGGAACTGTCAACCTTCTAATTTGGTTCTGACTTTCTCAGCACACAAGGCAAAGAGGAAAATGGTTCCAGAAATTGCACTGCCAGTAGGATAAAAACTCAATAGCTGCTCGGAAGAAGCACAGCTCTTTCAAGCAGGAGCGTTTAAAAGAAATCTCTCTCATGAGTTTTCTCAAAGGACTTTGGCATGATTAAGTGGGCAATACACTCCACATTGGAACAATGAATACAATATTGAATTTTCACACAGCTACTCCTTGTAACCGTGACATTGTTATGTGGCTATTTTGAAACAGCCTAAAAACACACACTATTAAGGCCTTCGCATTTTACAATACCAGGTAATGTTCAAAACTGCCTCAATCAATCTCTGTGCAGGACACGTCTGCCAATCTAAGATGGAGGAGACCAAAAGGGGATGGGAGAGGCAGGTCAGGCCCAGGAACGGGAGAAGGGATGAGCATTCGACAGCATCTACCTGAGCAGCCCCATCCGAGTCGGATAAAGTACACCACAGTTGTTCAACTTAGAAAAGACCACTGATTGTTTTAAGCAAAGTAAATGCTTGATGCTAAGAAAATCTGTGTACATTTTGAACAGTCCCATCTGAAATTCTCCGGCGTGTCTTCTGTAAGGTAAAGAAACCAGCACTGGAGTGGAGGGTGTAGAGGGATGGGGTAGGCAGGGGTGAAGGCCTGTTCGCTGCAGCTCCACATTATACAGGAAGTTCTTGCTGAACTTCCTAACACTTCTCTCAGTATGGTCTACCTCTATATACGTATATAAAATTTTATTATCTCATGATTATGGTTCCGGGAGGATATGGCAGAATTCTAAAAATCTTTTTTGCACTTGTTATTATTCTGATTATAAACACAACACCTGCTCGTAAAAATTCGAACAATATAGAGAAAGTATGCAATGCAAGTCTCCGGTCAGGGTGGGAGCTATGATAGGCGTTAGAGTAACATGTCTTTCCCAAACACTGGCCCTGTCCCGCTTTCCCTATTCCAGGGGATGGCATGGCCACTCCTGTGCTAACAAAACCAGAACCTGAGAGTCTTCCTTGATCTCTATTTTCCTCAGCCCTCATACCTGACCAGTCACCAGAGTCAGATTTTTATCTCCTAAATAGTCCTCTAATCCTCCACTTGTTTCTATCATGACCTGCCAGCACCCTTACCCTAAATTTTATACTTTCACATCTATACATGACTGCAACAGTTTCCTACCTGGTCTCCCTAAATCCACTTGTCTACCTCCAATCCATTCAACAGCCAAAATTATTATTTTTTTTTAACGCTTTTGTGATCACATCCCTTCCACCACAGACTAAGACAGGTCCAGCATCTTGCCACTGCTCTCAATGATAAGATCAAAATCCTTAACATGCCAACCAGGTGCTCAAGAGGTCTCAGCTCTGCGTTTCTGGCCTCATTTACCATTTACCCGTTTCTTCAGCAGGTGTCCTACCTCCTGCCTCAAAACCTTGGCACTTGCTGTTAACCTCAATCTAAAAAGAGCTCTTGTCGCTTTGCAGGGTTAACTCCCATGTCAGGTATCAGCTTAAGCACCCGTTCTTAGACAAGTCTTCCTTCACCTTCCTGTTGGATAAAATACCAATATGCGGGTCGGCCGAGTGGCGCAGTGGTTAAGAGCTGGCTTGGGACACCAGAGGGCCCCGGTTCGGATCCCACATATGAGGGCCAGTGACACTGCCCTCCACAGCTAAGATGCTGAACAACAACAGCTCAACCTGGAGCTGGGCTGCCGTGAGTCGCTGGGGATGGCGTAGGCTGCAGTCCCTGTGGCAGTGGGTTGCCATGGGCTACCGTGTGTAGCCAGCAGCCAGCGTGAGCGGCCAGCAGCCGCAGTGAGCGGCCGGTCAGAAGCTGGCGACTGATCTGCCTCACCTGGGAAGAGCGCAATGATGGTGCCAACTTAGGCCAGTGAAGCGACCTCCTCCACAACTAGACTGAAGAACAAAACGACAGCAACTTGTCTGTTCCCATCCCCCAAATCCCCAATAAAAATCTTTAAAAAAAAAAAAACCAATATGCTAGCCACACCTCTCCATCACAGCAGTTAGCACACTTGCCACTGCGTCTCTGCATTTTACTTATGTCTATGGCACCAGATGGTGGGCGCGTGCCCAGTCCACACACATGCATATTCTGTATGCCCATCACAGTACTTGACACAGCGTACGCGTCCTTTCCTGAACCGCTGGATCTGCCTCATGCCAAACAAGTTCTTTGCCAACTCCGGTATCCGCCAGGGCGGCTCCGTCTGCCTAGGATGTATTTCCTCTGGCCCTGACCGTAACTTCTCAAGTTGCAGCTGAAGGGACGCCTCCTCCAGGAAGTCTCCTTGGGCCACCCTATCTAAAACCGGCCTCCCCTTATTTGTCTCCTCCAACGTGAACTGTCGCAATCTGAGGTTTGGACGTTTACTTGCATGGATATGTGCTTAATGTTGGGACTTCCTCGCTCCACTGTCCTCTCCAGACAGGAAGGAACCATGACTACACAAGTCACCTCCGTTTTCTCAGCGCCCAGCCCTGGGGCTGGCCCGTTAAGTATGCGTTTGGCACGTTACTGACGGAACGAAAGCAAAGCCTGGCGGAATCGGACCACTAACGCCATTTGTGGTTCTCAGCAAGTCCTCTTCCTCTGACTGGGGTCCCAGTTTCCCCTTGGGGGGCCGGTGCACGGATGCCTCCATTCTTTTTGACAGCTTCCAAAACGGGCAGGGGAGACACCGAGGGGCGGACACCACCACCACCCCCCAAGGGGGCGCCCCCGGAAAGAAAAGCCCGGGGCGGGGCCTCCATGGGAAGAGAATTCCGAGAGAGGGCGGGGGCCGCGGGGCTTCGGCGACATGCGGGGAGGGGGCCGCCCCATGGCAGTAACCTGAGGAGGCCTCGGGGAGGGCCTGACGGGTTTGGAGGCTGGGCCAAGGAAGGAGAAGTCCTCACCTGTCTGTCCGGGCTCAATGGGCCGGGGCGAGGGACCCCCCGGCCGGCTCGGCGTGCACCTCCCCCGGCCCCGCCCCCTCCATGCTTCAGGGCCCGCCCCCGCTTCCGGTAGCCACCGGAAGTGCGGCGCAGCGAGAGGCGACGTGGGGAGAGCGCGGCGCCCGTCAAGCCGGCGCGACGGGACGTTACAGCGCCCCCTGGTGGCCGGAGGTGGGATCGAAGCCACAGCGGCCCAGTTGGCTGCGAAGGACAAAAGGAACCCAGGCCACCTCGGCAGTGCTCTGCGCGCCTGCCGGACGCGTTTGCAAAACTATGCATGAAAATTTAATTTTTCATCTCATGATTAGATGCGCCATCTCATCGGCTGTGAAGCCATCTGTCTTCTGTTGTCTCCTAGACACTGAGCGCTTTGAGGACAGGGCTGTACTTTTCTCTGAACTCAGGGCCTGATCCGTTTGCTGGCACACAGGACATACAGTGAACGCTTCTTGCACTACCTTAGTCCACAACATTTACTTGACTTTCACTTAATCGTTATCACAGCCTCTTACAACCTGGTTCCTCCCTGGAAGCCTTCGCTTTGTCCTATTTCTGGCCAGACAGCCTGTCCCCCAATTTTCCCACCTCAGCCTCCAGGTCTCAGAGCAAATGTCACCTCTTCAGAGGGCTTCCCTGACGGCTCCCATTTCACCACCCTCACGCTGTTTCTTCATAACATTCATCACTAACTGATATTGCCTGGTGTGTGCCTTCAATTCGGAATGAAGTCAAGAGCCAAAGCTTTGAGCAGAGGCGCCGCATAAACCAACTTATGTTTTCGAAGGTTCACGCTGGCGACCACAGGGAGAAGGGACTATTGAGAGACCAGCCAGGAGCTACTGCAATAGTCCAGGCAAGAGATGACGGTGGCCCGGACAGGGTCGATACGGGTGCAGGTGGTGAGAGGTGGTCAGATTTGGAATACACACTGAAGATGGAGTCCACAGGACTTGCCAATGGATTGGATAAACAGTGTGAGAGACAGAAGGGGAAGAGGCAATGATGTCCCAAGATTATCTGGCCTACGTAACTGAATGCTTTTGCTCGGAAAGTAATAGCACATTTGGGTTAGGCTACATTGGAAGCCATCTCCACAGAGGACAGGGACCATTTCTGTTTTGCAACTATTGATCCCTGAGGGCTTACGCGGTGCCAGGCACATAGGCACTCAATAAAAAGATGAGTTGAGTGCTGACGATGGTCTTTTATACACGCAGGGCGGTGCCTCGGTGGGATCATCTTCAAGCACACCAGATGCCACGCTTTATTTCCACGGCTCTGCAGCCTACCTGTCTCAGATGTTCCAACTTATAAGTCCCTTCCACTCCCCGCCTTGTCCTCTCACCCTGAGAAGAACACTGAGTCCTGAGCCACCACTGCACCCCCATGCCCCTGCCTCCTTTGTCCCTCTCAAGAGTCCCCGTGTACACAGGGTCCCCAAGTAAGTGGGATGATGGAGCGATAGGGAGAGACCTGAAGTACTTGAGAGCTTTCTATCCACTCCAGTCATCCTGTGACTTCTCTGCCAAGGCTTTTTAACAACTCTGCTCGCATGAGAGGCTCTTGTTCTTTCTCCCTTTCTGAAAGAGGCTGGCCGCGCTCTTTTCACCTCTATGTTGTGGCAGACATTTCTTGCCCTAAGTATTATACCACCACCACCCTATCACCATCATCATCATCATCATCACCATCATCACCACTACCAACCCTATAATCAAAATAATGGCCATCGCCATCTGGTACGTATTTACTGTAAGCCAAACCCTATGCCAATCATGTCACCTACGCTATTTCATTTAATCCCCTGGATGACACTGGGAGTTAGGTATTAGTATCCCCGCTTTACAGATGCAGAAACTGAGGCTCGGTTTCACTGGACTCCTTGGCTTGACAGGGCTCACTTCTTCATAAACGCCCTTTATGGCTATTTGCAGGAAATGCTCAGTTTCTGCTAGCAGTTCTTCAGCCTTCAGATTCCAAACCCAAATTCTTATCAACTCTCTGAAAAGGTACCTGCCCTCCATGCTCTTGGCTAAATGCTCCATGCGGTGATCCTGCAGCCTTCTGTTGTTCTCGGACAATCTTGCCACTGCCGATGGCACCCATGACTTAGCGCTCGGGCAGTGGGATGAGTTTTGTTCTGCTTGGTTTCAGGGGAAAGAATAACTTCCAGATTTGGGGTCAAGAAGAACATGGCAGCAGCTGTTTGAGGCCATTACTGTTTTACCTTTTACTGATTTCTTGCCAAAAAATCACACACACACACACACACACACACACACACACACACACACACACACACACACACAGAGCTTTCTCTTGGCTTGAAAATGTTTAGGGAGACTTGCTCTCATTCACATGGCAGAGAAGGAAAGTCTGGGCTTTAGAATGAGACTGACTTGGGTTTCAACAGGACATCTCTTGCTGCGCCTGAGCTGGCATGCCCCGGGAGCATGAGTTGCACTGCAATCTAGTTCCTGCTGGGTCAGCCAAGCGCTGGGAAACTGGCAGAGGGCTGGCTGCATCAGCCAGAAAAAGAATGTCTCCCCCCCCACCACCACACTGGTCCACCCAGAGGACTTGCCTTTTTTTCAGTCAATCCACTCATGGAGGACCTTTGTCTTAATTCACACAAAGGTGCCTTATGGTAGCAGCAACGATTATTCAAATCTGATTTTTGCCCTACGCGAACAGTGCTACTTGAGACAAGTGAGTTCACCTATCTGCTCTGTTCAGCCACTCTTTTTTGAACCCTGGCTCATGTGCCAGGGCCAACGTGAACAAGTCATGATTCCTGCTTCAGAGAAGCCTGCCGTCTCATTAGAAAGACACTCACAAACAGCTCGTTTCTATAGGACGCGGCGAGCACTCAGTTGGAGGTCTGTGCAAGGTGGGCGGATGGGCACTTAACCCAGAACTCCAAGAAGAGATGCTACAGAAGATGCTGGAGGAAAAGGTAGGGCAGTGTTCCAGGCTGTAGGGACGGCGCGGGCAGAAGTATGAGATGCGAAACAGCATAGTGTCTGCAGGGAACAAAGCACAGCTTGGTGTTACTGAAATGCAGAGGGTAAGGCGGGCAGTGACAAGAGAGAAGACTGCGGGCTCTGAGACTCACATTTCTCATCTCTAAATCAGGGATAATGTATTACCTCAAACAGTGCTAGATCCGATTAAGGATCCAATCAATGATTGCCTCCATGCCCAAGTAGATCTGAAACTTCTCAAGGGCAGCGACCGTGTCTGAAAATTAGATCTATGGTTATTTATAGCTCACCTGGGCCCTGGGTACAGTCCGCATTGAATCAGTAGTTTTTGGTTGTCTAGTGCCTAGCACAGATTAGAGGCCTAATATGTGTTGGTTGAGTGAATGGATGAATGAATGAATTAAGCCAAACCTGAAGTCTGGGCTCTCCTCCTTCTAGATGTGCCTGATACGGGCTTGGAGGAAGGAAAGGAACCTTCTTTCCTGTGGAAGTAGCTGCTGCAACCACACAGCAGAGCCCTGTGGACCGTGTCCCTTAAACCAGGGGTTCCCTGGGTGTCTCAGGGCCATCTCGTCCCACCCTCCACTGTCAAGGGCAGGATACGGGAGATGGCTGCAAAGGAAGAGACTGGGGGCCGAGGAGGCAAAGCCCAGGGAACATAAAAAATCTTAGCTGCAGGGAAAAGCACTCTTCTTCCTATGAAAGCAATGAAATTAGAGGTAATTGGGAGACATAGAGATTTGATAAAACCTAGGGAGGCTCTCAGGTGAGGGGGGCCAGGACTGGCTGGGGAGATGGAACAGCTGGTCCTCTCCTTCAGTGCCCGTAATCGCCCCTCTGTCATGATGGCTGAACAAACAGTCCTTCCTGGCCATGTCCCCGTGCTGCCCTGTAATGGCGGCAGCTGGGACGGCTGGAGGAGTTGGGGTGGCCTGGCTGCCCAAGGCACGAGCCTCCTCCCAACCACTGCCCCATTGCCTGGGGTCTGGGAGCCCAAGAACTGTGCTGCTGGGACCTGCTTTGAGGACAGGTGGCTAAGCTAGGATTGCCCTCCTGTAGGCGGCAGGCCAACAGACAGCCCGGGAGTGGCGAGGGGCAATCTGTGGGGGAGGGACTGGGCATTCCCTCCTTCCCTTTCACCCACTGAGGATCCAGTGGCGAGTAACTCACACTGTAAAATAGAGAATGGGCTGCAGATAGTTCTGGTTACAGAAGCACAGAGCCAGGTGGACACAGCAGGTGACAGCTAGCCCAGGTGTTCCTTAGTTAGAGAAGGTCTTCAAGAAGCCGTGATCTCTAACTACATCTGGTGCATGGCTGTGGGGTGACAGCAAAAGGGGACAGCAGGTGGCAAAGCACAAGATGAGAGGTGCCTCCTAGAAAATGTGTTTCACTTCGGGAGGCAGGTTTTGAAGGAGTTTGCTGAAACAATAGAACCGCGGCAAGCGATTTGGAGGAGAGCACCATCGCGCTGACCAGGAATTACAATTATAAATCTTAGGGGAATGGAACAATCCAACCCAGAATGTTCACTACAACCAAAATGTCTTACGGCAGCGGAGTAACTAAGAAATAATAGCTATAGCCCCTCAAGGT